GTGGCGTTCAGACTACCCGCACACACTCACTCCAACTGGTCAAACAAATTGGAGTGGTAGTATGGACAACTGCGGCTGTGCGGAGGCAGTTATGCCCGAGCTGTCTGTTGTGTGACTTCAGGTCAGCGCGTCTGGAACGGCTCACTGCAAAAGGGTAAATGACCTTGAGACAGCGAGGTCTTAAACAATGACGCCAGACCGCCCCTGATGGCTGGCCATTACAATGTCACTATTTGGCCTCTACAAAAGGTGTTTGTTGAGACCTTTCGCGAGGCTACAGAGGACTACATCGGTCTCATACATAGGTATCGTCAGTGCCTAAAGAACTCCTATAATGTTCCATCACAGCCGTACACCTACGAATCCTACCTTAAAGAGGACCTGGCTGGCTGTTCTAATAACACACTTCATTGTGAGCGAGTGATGCGGTCACGTAAATATTGAGCAAGAACTCAAACCGAGTTTTCTCAGGAGATGCGCGGAACTTCTATATATAACTGAAATTGGGGTGTTCCACGGCGTGGACCGAATTAACGCAGAGGTCCCAGAAAATGCTTCTGATATGATTTATTATCTTTTACCCCCTCCTCCCCTACCCACTGCATCCGTTTCCACCATCTTATCGTTCTCCGACACTCACGCCTAAACCACTATGGTGTCATTTCCGCCAACTATCGGCTAAGGGGTGTGGTTAAAGCCACAACCGACCCTTTAACATCTTGATAATTTTTCAGTAAGATCTTTCGATGCCTCCGAAAGGACGCGTCTGTCACATTAGCATTGGAATATACACAGATTACCGAGCCGGAGCTCAGAGCAGGATGCTACATCAACTCAGTAATTCAGTATAATCCAGTTTATATGAGGGATAGAGGCAGAGCCTTGGAAAACGCTATTTACAGATAGACGTATGAAGAAAACATGCAGATATCTACATAGCAGTTATGCCAGTCATTGATATCATGTAAGTGTTTGACCATCAAGCATAAATTTATCTAGTCTTCTTTTGAAAGTCTCAACGTTTTCCACTAAGGCAACGGAGTTCGGCAATTTGTTCCATCCTTCAACCAGCCGGTGGGAGAAGAATTTGGCCGGCAATTCGAGTTTTGTATATCTTAGCTTCAATTCGGGACCGGGCCTGGAGTTCGTCGTATCACTCTCGGCCTAGCCTAGATGCAACAAGCACACCGTATACCGTAAACTCACCCTCTTTACTCGATATCAACGGTTGAAGGAAGTAAACTAGAAGACACTATGCAAGTTATTCACAGCGCCAAAGGATCAAAGAAAGCTATGGGTATCCTAGGCGCGATTAGAAGATTCTTCGTCAATTTTGATGAAGAACTTTCGGCCGAGTATTTGGAACATTCTTTCGGCCAATGTTGGAATATTTTGTCCAGGCATGGTGTCCCTGGACGAAAAAAGATTACACCCTTCTGGAGAACGTACAACGAAGAGCGACCAAGCTAGTCGGCGGATTAAGTAGCTTACCTTAGGAGAGACGGCTGGAGAAGCTAAAAATATTTCCTCTCTCTTATAGACAATACAGAGGGGATATGATCATGGCCTTCAGGATCGTCCGAGGACTAGACTGTGCTCTTCCGTCTGGCGATTTCTTCGAACTGGCGCGGACGACAAATCTTCGAGGGCAACAATACAAATTGAAGACGAAGTATGCCAAACTCGAATTGCGGGCGAAATTCTTCCCCCACCGGCCGGTGGAGGGATGAAACAAATTGCCGAACTCCGTTGCCTTAGCGGAAAACGTTGAGACCTTCAAAAGAAGACTGGATAAATTTATGCTTGATGGTCAAACATTTACATGATATCAATGACTGGCAAAACCGCTATGTAGATATCTGCATGTTTTTTTCATACGCTTATCTGTAAATAGGGTTTTCCAAGGCTCTGCCTATATCCCTCATATATACTGAATTATACTGAAAGAGAAGGCGGACGCCAGTTGGTGGACAGCGGTAATTATCGTTGTACTAAATGTTTTCCTGGAACACGTACTGTTTACGAAGGAGTTTTCGCTTCATGTGTGCATGTGGAGCTCGCACGCATATCTTACCGGCGATTGTGAAAAAGAGCGGTAATTTTCGGGAATTTCAAACATTTCATAATCTCCTAGGCATTGTGGGACTGGCCTTTGTAGCCGCATGTCCCAACAAGTGTAAAAACGTTTTTTCGTCGTAAGGGTAAGTTGGTGGCTGTGCTTTTCCGCTGAACACCGGTTACACTGCTTTTATTTCCTCTGATATGTTTGGCGGTGATCGAAGTGAGCATTGGCATGCACATTAGGATTGTGGATGAATGGCCGAGGACAATTTTGGTGTTTCGTCTTGGGATTAGAGGTTACGTCATCAGTAGTTTGGCACCGCTTTGACTAATCAGAGCCACTGCTCCACTGATCCATGGAATCATACTTATTTGATGGCCGCAACGTAGTTGTTTATCTCACCCAGGCCGGCATATCTTCCGCTGTTTTCAGTAATGCGAGATGATCTATCAAGGTGAGTCATCCTGGCCTCTTTTTCATCAGCCTTCGACGTCAGAAGAATGCGGGTCAGTCGACGTCGGTTCCACTGTTAGCATGCAGCATGCGCAGAGCGTTTTCCTCGGAGAGCAGATGTCGAGTTTTTTGGTCGCTATCGTTTAACCCGTTCGAATGATGACCGTAGACGGGAAAACATTCATAGCGGTGACCTGAACGGCATACTCAGTCTTCTCTATCAGGTGCCAATTGTGGCACTTTTTCCTGGAACCTGAAGTGGCTTTAGTCAGAGTGCATTATGATTGCTGAAAGTCGCTCGACGTCGAGTCTCATTTGGTATTCGGCTTGCCAGAATTCGGCTTGAATTGCAATCACCTGGGGTGCGATAATTGAAGCGTCGTCTTCGGTCTAACAAGGCGACGGTGCTTTCAGCACTCTGCGCTAGACACAGTACTCGTTACTACCACGCCTCACCGCTTAGGTTTCCGGACGTAGGCGTAGTACAGCGGGCGCGCTTCCTGGATCAGAAGGTGGGATAGAGTGTAGGCCTGGAGAAGACTCTGTTTCCTGCAGACGGGAGGAGAAGCTGACTACTGTTGCACGTGCCGATTTAGAGGCGATCCACCACTCTCTCCCGAGTGACATACTCTGTTCGGCCGTGGCCACTTTAATCTCCAAAGGAATTTGCTACATCCACCTTCAGTGCAGTGGCCGGGAGTAAGCGCTGGTTTCAAACAATTCGTCCTTTGTGGGCCACCATAATGACAACGTCGGGCCTCTCGCTAGCGCCTGCACCTATGCCCTAGCTACAGCCCGCTATGGCACGCATGTCTGCCCGGCTTCGATTTGTGTCGTTGCAATTCACTGTATGCACCGCGCATCTGGTCAATTCTCTGCCTGAACCACGCGAAGCTTGTCACTACCTTTGCGTGGACTCGGAGCCAATCAACGCAACTCCTCCCGCTGATTGTTAACACAGGCGGTTACACAGTCCAGACGACTAGCGTAAACAATCTGCAGCTGCACCTTCGATCATTGGGAGCCTTATATTGCATAAGTGACTGATGATTGTGGCCAGTGTACTCTTGCAATGTGACGATCACATATCTAAAAGGTGATCGGTAGCTGCCTACCACAGATACTAACACCGCCTCATGGCGTAGATGTAAATGACAAAAGTGATTTCAATGTATCGTTGCTCTGACTATTTCGACTCATGCCCAAATAATGCGACACCGTCCAATACCTCATTTGCTTGCCAATGTTCGGAGAATCAGGAATCACTGTGGACTGCAGTTTCCACTTTCGGGACGACCTGTTCGAGGTTATCCATAGCTGTCCTCCTTTTTAGTCCGCTTGCCACCGCATTATTTAAACACTTACGGTAGTTCACGACATGTGATGTTTCCAATCTCACAGACAGCACCCGAAGTCGACTAAATGTTCCAAATGTGTCATTGCGAAGGTCAACCAGAATTAGTGTGAACCAAATAGAAAATTATATCACATCCTCTGCGCAGAGCATCTTGCTCGGGAGTAAGCAGGAAGGATAGGAGTAAATGCTGTAACTACCGGCTATGGGTATATACCCATGCCAGGTAAATACCTTATTTCTCCCATCATCTACGAAGGACTAGCGAGGTGTGGTAATTACATTGCAAACAGCTTCGTGGAGCAACAAATGACGACTGAGCTCTTAGAGTAAAAAGAAATAGGGCAATCCACCCGGTTCATCGATGCGCTTGAGCAGTACCTGTTGTGACAGTAGGCGTGCTTGCTCAGAGAAGTCAAGAGCCTGGTGCCTCATATGTTGCCTGAACTCATGGCATTTTTTGACACTGTATCCGCCACAGGGTATCTTCGAAAGGGTGCGTTATGCAACAATTGTATCAAAGAACCAATAGCGATCATACGGCTTCGAGCCCGATCCAGGCCCAAAACTACCCATGCATCAGTCGGGGCTGTCCAAAGTTGGATAGGCTGGCATAGATTCTAGATATACTCACCCATTTGTCCGCGGTTTAGTTTTTCCGTCGATCTGACAGCGTTTCGTACTAGCTGCTTGTGCTGCATATGCTGCTGTTTTAATGTTACTTTTAGATAAAAAAATGAATTCGATTCCACGAGACTTTTCGGCTGTTTAGTAATCCTGCAGTGTCCATCCCATGTTTTCGATATTTTCATATGGATCCCCAATTGAATTCCGTCTATCACTCTTTCACTCCTGGTTTTTTGGCTTTATATCTTTCATTCGACTGCCGTATCTGCAGTCTTCTGGCACAGTTTCGGCTGTCGCAGTTCAGTCGCCTTCTTGCACCCTGATCCTCGGCCCGCCATTTTCCAAACTACTTGGAGCCGTTCGCGTAACCGTTGGCTTCAAACTGCAACAGCCTAAATAGAGCATAGGGTCCTGACCTTGTTTTTATAAAGAAGTGACGACTCATCTTGTAGAGAATCCCGGACCAAGCTCGACGCATGGGCCTGAACAAAACCGCTGATTCGCATGCCCGACAAGTCCCACCTAGGTTCGTTTTGTGTTCGTTCTCTCGTTCATCATTGTTAAATTTTGTTTTTCACCTTCCGCGTTTTCTCGAGTCAACCCTATAATCGCATGCATATACATACTATTCCATCAATGCCTCTTATTGATAGTTCCTGAAGTCAACCCATTATTTTTTGCTACTGAGGTTCACACGCGTTCATATACACTGTTATGAAAAACTTCCTCATAGGAGTCTGCCTATACTATTCATACTTAACGTTCACTTCTGATGCGACGAGACTGTATGAGAAGTATGTAGGATACACCGAGTCCAGAACCTCCGATTAACAGGCGGGGTGTGAAGATAAGGAAAATGTTTCATACAGACAGAATTTATTTGTCCCCTACTGATCCTTTCGAATCGGACATTACAATATACATGAAAATCCTAACGGGAACGGACAACGGTATTCCGGATTATCTAACTCAAAGATTTGGCTCTGTTTGACAGTTTTAAGGTCATCACTATTATCAACGAAACACCTGCCAATTATTTAAATTAGGTTCTTTGAATATCCAGCTTTAAAGGTATGTGAAATTGCTGAAGCACCTGTTAACGGAAAACTGTGAAACATATAGTAACAGCAATAAAGATATAAATCGAGGATAGCTGATAAGGAGGAAGAAGTGTCACTCCATACTGGTATGCGAATTCTGCGCTCGACTTAATATTTGTGTAATTTCGACAAGGAATGGGATTCCGAAAAACCCAAAATTGTCTTTTAAAACAAAATCTTAAAACCGATAACCCGGACAAGTTGTCGGCATTGAGCCGACATCCCAAAAATATGGCATGAATTATATATATTCATATATACATCCTCGAAGAATCGTCATTGTGATATATATCCATGCGGTTATCCCCTCATCTGCAACTCGGAAAGTCTTAGAAACTTCCATTCCATTAAATAATTCTTATAACAAATCAAAACATGAATTGGAGCCGAACTTATCAGTTAAAAGAACCAGAAATTGCCCGCCCATCATCGAGGTACAGTAGGTCATTATTGAAACTCAGATGAAATAATCATATAAATTAATAGGCCCGTCTAATAAGGTCACACCCCTTTTAAGAGGTTTGCATGAATTTACTGATCTAGTTGCAAAAAGACAAGCATTCGCTTCACTGGTCGTCACTGTGTGTATTTAGTCAGCTCAGCAAGTACCCACCTCGTGTCGCTCTGTAGATGCAGTTGTGCATGGCCTTGTCCGATGTATCGTTCATAATTCTACAAATAGTATGGTCAATTGAAGACGCTTTCGACTTCTACGGCAAACTTGGCATGTTTGCGTCCTCCACGTAGGCCACACTGTAGAAGCAACCACACAAGTAAAGTACTTCATGTAATCTTTGGAGAATGGTAGTGGACGGGACCATCAATTGAAGGTCCAGTCTCTAAAACCTCCGTTTGGTTCCTGATAGCACGCATTTTAGTTCATACTGAAGGTATGCGAACATGCCATTTTGAACAGAAACTGATGTTATTTTAAAAAAGCCCGGGGTTTCTATAGAAGAAGTATCGATGTAGCGCCCGTATTAAGCGCTTATCGCCACAAAAGTTTTATTTATACTTATAAAATTCTGGAAATCATCCATTAATTGAAATATAATGCCTCTTAAAATGTCTGAGTATTCTTTTAAAAGTTGCAAATAATGTCACATATGTGACATTGTTTGTATATGCCTCCCCAAACATGGTTTTACCGATTTTGTAGCAAGATGGGTAATTCACAGCATTCAGAGAGGTCTAAAAAGGGTTGGCAAGCGTTATTCAGACATATTGTACTTGGTCTTATGAAAACCTGATAAATATACCGCAACTGAAGTCTAAGTGTTCTATTAAGGGGTTTTGGGAACGTTAACGCAAAGATTAAACCTTAGTGGAAATTGGCATTGTGGACATTTCCGAGTTCCCAAAATATTAACAATGGACTAAAAACGTTTGATTGGTTCTCCTAATTATTAAGGACCTTTGTCATTTGCACATAAGCGTTCTATTTAAGTTTTAAAGCTTAACGTTGGTGAGAGTTATCTCGAAGGTTCAATTTCAATTCAATTCAAAGTCAACACCACTTACGGAGTTAACAATGTCCTTTCAGTTAAGACGGCATGTCTAGAGCCACAAAAGATGTTGGGCAAATACGCATAAACAGAAACCGAACAAAGTTTTAAGATAGCTATTAATTATTTGTTCACTTTTGATCGACAACTCAAACGAATATGCAAATAAGTAGGAAAACTAATGGTCCTAATAATAGCATTTTATGTTGTCTTATTGCAGCAGTAATAAAATCGTTGAGTCGTTTTAACGTTATCTGAGACGAAATTGCTTTAATGCTAATTGTTTAGACTTTCAAAACATGTGCACTAGTGGTAAATGTTTCTCTTTTAGCAATGTCTTCGAAAACTCGCTGTTCTGTTCTTACGGATTTAAGTCTACTGAATCTGGCGAGAGCTTTGAAAGATGAAGATGTTTTAGTCTTTGTCCTCTTGGATATTCCCGAGACAACAATTGTCACGTTCTATGAAGAATGCAAGGCTCTTAATCAAAAAAACAACGCCTTCAAACAGCGATGTCTTTTGCATTGGAAGGAGCTCCGAGCAAATGTAAGGGACTCCAAAAAACTTAAACAGCTTGACTGGGCATTACGGGAGTCCGGTCAAAAGGAAGTTGCTGATGTGGTCAAGGAGCGCAATAGCTTAGATCTTCAAATTACTAAAGAACTGTTTACAACGTGAGCACTGTGCAAGGAACTACTCTTTCAGTCCTGTTCATATTTTTAGTCATTTCTTATGCATTTTGTATCTATGGCGCAAAGGGAAATCCAAGAAAACCTATCTGAATCAATCGCTCTCACATTTGACAAAGAATCCTTTAGTGCTCCTGTTTGCTCAGAGTTTTATTATTGGCGTTGCCTCTTTCCAATGGTGAAGTTTTTCAAGTCGTTTTCACGATTTGTCACAAAATATTGAGAATTTCTAAAATCTAGAACATCACTCTACCTAAATGTAAACTCCTATGTAATTCTTAGAATGAACCTCGTTGATTAAAACCATTTATTATTTCCTGTAATTTTTGGTTTGGTTCCAAGCATAGGAAAGAGATGCGTCCGGGTCGACCAACAAAACCCAGCCACCTCAGAGGGTGACTTATCATGTTCTTCTCTCAGGTAAACGAAATATAAGTGCCTGAATGGTCAAATTGATCTTGGGGGAATTTCTTCTTTAGTAAAACTTTAGCTTCTGTTCTCACGGGTCTTTATGATTATGCAAACATGTTTACGGCTCACTTTCGCTATCATATGTATTCGTTGAATTCGAAAGCACGTAAATTAAGCGGAATTGTTGCATGATAGACCTAAGAGATTGGGTGATATGTTTTTGGTTTTATCAGTCATGGGGTATTTACATACGCAAGCATATGGACCCCGTTAACTAAATATCATCGAGTTGTAGACTAAACGAATTCGCGTCTTAGCCGTTGTTAAAAGTCTGTTTATATAATTACAGCCTTTTGTTCACAGATGCAAGGACCAGCCATGTTCTCTAAAATTAATGAGCTGCTCAGTTAAAATAACGCAAATTTACTACTTACATCCAGGAAAGATTTTCCCATTATAGACTCTGAAGTTAGGAACGCAATTGTACACCAGCAGACCCTTCAGGTGTATTGATTCTTCTGTAAGTTCAGAGTAAGCTTATTTTCATCACGAACTCAGCCACATTCACAGCTTGTAAGACTTTGGCTTGAAATGTACCGGAACCACCTCTAGGTAGTCATATGCTTCGGAGAATGGACTTAAGTTGCTTGTCTACGCGTTCGACAAGCGATCCGCCCCCTGCAACACACATAGTGTTTCCTCACAAAATCGGGTTTCACGTGCGTGAGAGTGCCATGGAGGCCGCCCTAAGAGTTAGTCATTGGTCCCTACTTCCAGACCGCGAGTTTTCTGTCAGAATCGACGGTTGACAACCTTCCAGGCCCCAGCTTTTAGCGCACAGTGATATGCTCAAGCGCGTGAGGTTGTCAATATGAAGAATTTGCCGTCAAACTCAATCGCTCTTCAGTTGATGGTACAAGCCTATCTATAAACATTAAGCTGAAATCGTTCGCAGGGGCTTATGAAACTACTCATTCCGACTGCGCGTGCAACACGCAGGACCTGGTTCCAACACAATACACGAGATTTTATACAATGGTGGATCTAGAGCCAGATGCAGCCGGGTCTCAGTGACCAAAGTGCATGTGGCTTTCATACACATTAAGTAGGTCTTGACTGGCAGTTTGAGTTTGGTGAATGGAACTCCGAAAATAAAGGCAATGGCGCAGTGTAGAACTGGCAGCCTCACGATCTGGCGTTCAAGAAAAGGAGCTTCAATATTAGACCTAGGTCTTCTAACGTTTAGCACGATTTTCATGTCCCATGCGTTAAAGTCATATCATTAGTATTCATAACTGAGTCCAGTCTCACGCGTTGTACGATACATGCTAGCACTGTATGTTTCCTGTTCCTGTAAATCTAAGCAAAATGTACCACCTTAACATACCGGGAAATGTAGTTTATCGACTGCTATTTTGGGCAAACTGCTGCTATACCCAAAAATAATCCAGGAAGTGCCCATGCCAATCTAGGCAGTCTGTATATGTCTCATTCGAGGGCCAATCAGAAATCTGGTAAAGTTCAGTCTAGGAGTCATCACATAGAACACCAAATGAAGTCTCTGTTCTCGCGGCCGTTTCATCGGTAGATACTGGCACCTAGAGCTGACCACTAACAACAGTCAGGCGTGCCACAATGTATGACCTTCTTGCCAGTGATGAAACTCGAAAGACAGGATTAGACGTCAAGTTATTTTTACAAGTCAGCTCGAGAATCATTAGGCAGTAATGAAACGCAGTGTAAAGATTAGAGGGCTTGTTAGTTTTGCATGCGCAGACAACTTTGGTTTTGCGCGCTGTTAATGACATTTTGCCACCCGGGGAGTCACGCGTAATTGCAATGAAAGGCAATTTGACGATGCGATTGCCCGAGGCTCTAGGAAACTGCTTTTTACTGCCAAATCGAGTATTCATCCGTGGTTATACTATCATGTGCGACCACATGATGCAGTGTTATCTCTTTGATAGGGAGATGCGGATATTACGTTAGTTTAAAACAGGCGTCCTACTCACTCTGTTTTAGTAGGCCATGATTTAGGATGTGATTTGGGTCGGTGATGCGATCCGCATGTCCGTTCGTTATAAATACAAGTCAAGTTCCTGCTGCTACATGATGTGCGAACTTGGGGTGGAGTCCTTACAACGAGATATTCCGCGTTCGGATCCAAATCTTACATGCATATTTGGACTGCACTTTACCAGTTTCAGCGAAATAATCAGGCAATATTCATAACCATACATGCAACTGTAGCACCATGGGCACGTTTAGTCATAGTACCAACAACTGTTAGATCCTGGGATTATTAACCGAGTCTCGGTAAACCCGAAATGACCATCCGTCTAGAACATTTCTCATTCCGTTATGCTCCATAGCGTGTCCCCTCAAAGTCTGATATGACTGCAAGGATGGAGCTCAAACAAGTTAGTTCCTGAGGACACTAGAAACCTAAAAATTTAAAAACAACAGTATCCACCAAAAACACACGAGAAATGCTGGGGGTCCACTGATGAGCCGCACTCTTCGCAGCATTTCGGCGAAATGCGCGTGTCTAGGCTTTCAGCTAGTGCCAGCCTCTCTACCTCCATAAATTGTATGAACCTAAGGGCTAATGAAAGAAAGTCCAACCCTAGAAGGATCTTTTTTCAAGAAAAATATGGTTGGGATCCATCGGTTCATCGGCGGGCTTTTAACTACGCCTCTTGGTTGTAGTTGGGCCAGAGTTTGAGGCCGGCCTGGTGTAGGGGCCGAAATGTCATAATGGGCAGAATTTGTGTACAACATGGACAGGCGGAAAGAGTACAGTCCCCTGTTGGGTCACTTGTGCTTTACCAGAAAAATAAGGTTACATCTGGAAGGATTGTGGACTATTCTGCAGTCACTGAACTGTCGGGGAGGAGGCGGGGGGGGGGGAGGCCGTCGACGTGGTCCGAGTAGGGAAGAGTTGTGGCGGAAGAACGGGAAATCATCGGAGAGGCGGAGGATGGTGGCACGACCACCGACGACGGAAGCAATCAGGTAGGCATCAGGAACCCTAACAACTTCTTCCTCGCGTGTGGGCCAGCTATGCGAGTCTTTCAGCCCGAAGAAAAAAACATAAAAAATGATAGTCACCCCAACGAGGTCCGACCCAAATTATGATCGAAAACGCTGGGAAAATGTGTTTTCGAAAGTTTGGCCTATTAGTGGTACGACGAAAATCTACAAAAATTAGCAAAAAAATTGCCAGAGAGAGCACAAGCGTGCGGTGCTTGTCGCTGATCAGACGATATTTGTTGCACATATGTGACGTTCGAGGAAAAACATAAACAGGCATCTGGTTTTCCTTGGTGCGCCTCATTTGTTGCAAATGCTGATTAAAGATGATTCAGAAAGTGAAGGAACACACGCACTCACGCGTCGATCCCCAACAGAAACCACCCAGTCGACTGTGGAAGCAGATGCCCGAGGTCGACTTATTGGCGCATGAAAAGATGACACAGTTGACCAGAGGATGATTTTGTCAGAATGCAACACCTCCGATAGGCGCAGAGTGCCATGAGCTATCATATATTTCCGTTAACCGCAGAGCACAGAGGCGGGACAAGACACTACATCTAAGTTCTAGTAAATGCACCCCACCGATACTTCGGGAGTGCACACAGGCAACCCTATAGTAACAAGTCATTAGGGCCGAAGGACCCGCTGCTGGACAATTGGCCTCAGTTCTCCGAACGTGCAGAGGC